CACCACTATTTGTAATATCAGCTGAAATCATTCCCATCAGACATGCATGGATGTTGTTAACTCTATTTTTGTAATTTGGTTATTACATTTAAAAGTCTCCATCCTGCCAAGAGAGTGTCTAAGAGTTCCGCTCAAATGAGCTGACTTCTAATCATCCATAATCATATTTTTATCAAGTTCCTTGCAAACTTTATATAATCCCACTATTTCTAAAAATGTTTTTCTTTTCTCACAACTATAAAAAGGAAACAAATTATTTCAAAAGAAGAATTAAAAGAGATATTTGGTAAATTAACTATATATTTATACTACTACTTCCATCCATATTTTTTTAGATTCATTTCAGAGTTTTCATAAGTGAAACCAAAAATAAATACTTCAGAGAACTATAGGAAACATTAAATATGTGTCATGTTCAAATTTGCTACAGGAAAAAAATTAACAAATGAAAACCAAGACTCATTCACTAATTTACTAAAATAAATCAGCTTCCAAAGGATCCGGAAATTATTGAAAGAATAATGACATGTAATCTTGGAAGTTTCTATACTTTTCTTATAAACATGAGGTCTGTGGACTTCAAAGTGAAGTTTAAATCAAATCTAACTCAATAAGTTCCTTGAAAAAAATTGACATTGTAATAGGACCCAATACCCAGCTGTTCTGTGGTCAAATTTGTCTCTTCCCACCAAAAGGAAAAATCTACAGAAAAATATTGCTAGCTGGCTTTTTACTCCATATTGATCAAATTCTCTATCCTTAATTTTTAAAATGTAAAACAAGCAACTTCTTTTTTATTTGGGAGGGGATCAGCGGTATATATTTTATGTTTTCCAAATATTTTAGAGGACTAAAATTCATGTATTTGTTGGTGTGCAGTTTTTAGTAAAATACTAAAAGAATGAAAAAAGATGTGGATGTTACATCTTTGGGTTATGTGTTTAGGAAGTAAGCAGCCAAGAATACTGCTTTTGGCACTGGCTCCGGCAATCATGGGCTATGGAACAGCAAATGCCAGGTGTCATCTCAGAAGCTGCAAGAAATACAGGCATCCAAGCAAACACAGACTCACACTGAAATGGTGTGGGTTTTCCCCAAAATATAATTTAATTTATACTCAACATACCACCATATGATATAATAAAATATTAGCATTTTTATTTTTCTATGTCATACTCCGTGATTTTTTTTAATGACAATAAAGTATACACTGTTCTTTCTAGGTGGAAATAAACATGGAAGCGTGATGGCATGCATCCTATGTGTCATTTAATTTTGCACTTGTAATATAATGAAAAAATAAAGCAGAATTTATCCGAACTTCAAGGCATGAAATGCAAAGTATTTTTAAAAGGAGTATTTAGTAGATACCGAAGGACTTTGATTTTAAAATCAGTTTTCAAGGCAAAACTATTAGAAAGGAGCATAGATCAGTAGTTACCAGGAATTGGGTTAAGGGAAGAGGATCACATCAAAGAGGTATAGCGTGAGAGAATTTTCGGAGTGACAGAATTATTCTATAGCATAACTATGATGGTGGACACATCATTCTTCACATTTGTCATAATTCACAGAACCTACATCAAGAAGAATGAATTTTACTGTACATAAATTAAAAATTAAATATAAAATAATTTTTAAAAAATAAAAATTTAAAATAAAATCAGTTTTGAAAGCAAAGATTTGGTGTGGTTTACTATTTATTATTCAGCTATGCTGTGGCTTCTACTAAATGACTGTGAGCCAACAGGGGAAGAATAAATTATGTTCTCCAGAATAATCATTTCAAATAAACATTTATAAGGTCTAGCTATTATTTCAAGGTCAAATGAATTTGCTGAATTATTTTTGTTGGTTATGTTTGCCATTGACCCACAGATGACTATGTGATATACTTTCTTCCTAATCATTAGCTCATGGCCATTAACTCTGGCAAGATTCAATCCATAACCAGCTGCTACTAAGGGTGCATGGCTCCCCAAAGCAAAGGCTGACAAGAAGACACAGCAGAAAAAGTGGAAGCCAGCACTGGTTGGTCACTAGTATCAACCTCCTTATCACAGAGAAACTCAGGAAGGGAGATTAAAATAATTTAATCAGCCCATATTACATGGAATTCACACACTGCTCCTATGCTTTCTCATAATTCAGGTACAATCATTCCATTTCCAGTATCTGCTCATCCATCATATCAAAGTAATATGTTCTAACAACAATGACAAGAAAAACATTCAGTTTTAAAATAAAAATCTGACCTCTAGATAGGCTGAATAGAACTGCTATAGAAATAAATCTAAGAAGATAACAACAGATACACTTTATTTCTACACCCTCCTTCATTTCAAATAGTTTGTTAGAGTCTTAGAACATATTTTCCCCCACCACAGAGTCTCCTTTATAAGTTCAAGTGAGAAAACTGAAACCCGAATCGCCAAAGTTCATAAAGCCAATTGAAAAAGTCTCTTGCCGTGATCGTATAGTGTTTAGTACTCTGAGTTGTTAAAAAGTCTTTGCATTAAGTTATTTGAGGACTGACCCACCGTGGCTACTTCCAGTGCACCCTCTGCATGATACTGGAAAGGCTTATGACATCAGTTTTGACTCTTTAACATTCATACTTTATCACATGAATGTCAAATAGACCCAGGACAAATAAACTGAGGGTAGGAGCTTCCCTTATTCTTAGAAGAGTTCTTTCCAATTATATATTTTGTTACATCTTAAGAGATAAAAGCTGTATCTGCAAGTGATTAAAAGATGTTTTATATTCATGGCTTGATTTCTGCTAAAATAAATGTGTAATTTAAACCACACATAATTCATAGCAATTTAGGCCTATTACAGAGTTCTAGCTTCTTTTTTACCATAGTTACTAATTAAAACAGAGTGTTACTGCCATGCTGAGCCTGAGTCTTTGACATACAGGTTTAATGAATAAAATGTCCTGACACAAAAATGAAAACAATGATGCAGACAAGGCTGCAAGCTGTTATGTTTCAAGTGTGTGGTAAAGATTAAGGACATTCACTGAAGTTAAGAACTGTGCAGAGAAGGGACTTGTAATTTCTTTCCTTAAAGGAAGAAGTAAAGGATTTTTGAGAGAAATCTGAAATAGTCCTAATTTCTCTAACTTCTTGGCCCCTCATTCCCAGTTGTCCCCTTACCCCCTCCAGGAATTTAAACTCATAAGACTCACTTTTGAAGAATAAGGGGTATTTTAATATAATCCTGAATACAGGTTTAGATTGAAAATGGGAATTGGGACCATAATTAATTATGTTGCCAAGATTTTTAAACTTTAAGAAGACAAATTGAGGCAAATGACATTTCATAAGAGTGCAACCTTCTAAAAGTTCATGGATTAAAAGTCTGGTAAAATGACAGTATCTTTTTGACATTTGATTAATCCCATATGCAGAATGAGTGTGAGGAATTAATACCGTTTTGGCGTTTTCACTTTCTGAAACCACTGTAATAAGAGACTGACAGAAAATCAAGTATAAACACAGTCCTCAGCCAGGGTTATGGCCTTATTATCACTCTTAATAAACAGTAATGAATAATAATAAATACCGATCGCCCTCACTGCACTCTGGTCCACACACATACCCCCTCTGGCATCCATCCATCACTTCTTTCAGGATAATAAAACAGTTCAATCCCACCAAATCCTCAGCAACCGCTCCCTTGGGAAGGATGTTTTATCTCTACTTCTGGGAGCCCAGGGAGGATTTCCCTTGTTTGAAGGGGGCGGAGAAGGGAGCAGGGCCCTATTTATTTCCATTGAAGACTCCCCGGTTCTCCCGGGCGCTGGGGACGGTGGGAGGCGGAGGGGGGGTGCGGAGATTCCCTCCTTCAGCAGAGAAAAGGGGCTCGCGAAGCGGGGCAGGAGGAGGGGTGGAGGGGGAAGGAGAGAGTGGTGTGTTTGCGGAGATCGACTAAATGAAAAAATAAATTCTTCCTTGCGATCTAGCGGGATCGCAAGATAAGAAGCAAACAAATTCACCAACCCTGCAAAGTTGCGAAAAAGAACTGTGTAAGAAACACACACAAACGGGCATTTGCTCAGGTTCATTTCCCGCTCAAGGTCTGGGTTTCCGGGAGCCGCCGGTGCCGGGAGCCCGCGGTGGACAGCGCCCCGGAGGGCCCGCGCCGGCCGCCGCGGGGACAGCTCGGCGCCCGCGGGCGGGGCGGGTGCGGGGCGCTGCGGGGCGCGGGAGGCAGGGCGCACCGGGCGACGAAATCGCGCCCCGCGCTGAGCGGTTCGCGAAGTGCCCCGCGCGTCGCGGCCGGCGGCTCCCGCCAGGGGAAAGGGAGCGCGGGGGAGCGACCCGCGCACGGGCCGCCGAGGCCGCACGCCAGGCGACCCGGCCGGGCGGGTCCATCGGAGGCGCTCGGCCCTCGGAGCGCGACGCGCGCGCGGCCCAGCGCACCCGCCGGCCCAGGGAAGTTTCCCTGACGACGCCGCCCGCGCCCACGCCGAGCACGGACGGGCGGCGGGGCCGCCGCGCGAGGCCGCCCGTCCGGGACCCGCGCCCGGCCGACCCCCCGGCCCTCGCCCCACACGCAGACGCCCCGCGAGACCCGGGCCCGCAGACCTCCGCGAGCGGGCGGAGACGGAGGCAGCGCTCCCGGCGGGCGGGCCAACTGCGCGTCCGGGCCGAGCCGGGCGAAGCCTCCGCGGCTCCCGGGTCCCCGCCGCACCCCAGGTCGCGGTCCCCGCGCCTTCCCCGCCAGCGCCACGTCCGTCCGCCCCCTAACGATTCTCGGGGCCGCCGGGCCACGCGCGCAGCCCGGGAAACCGAGGGAGACCTGCTCTCCGCCCTCCTGCCCGCGGCTTCGGGATCGCGCGCCCTCGAGAACCCTGCGGAGCCCTCCAGAGTCGGGGCGCGCGCCCCGACACCCGCCCGCAGGAGCCCGCCGGCGCGAGCGCCCGTGCGCCGGTCCCGGCGGCCGCTGACGCGCGGCGCGTCGGGGACGGCTTTCCCCCCGCCGCTTACCTCAGAAAGATCAGTTTGTCTTTCCGCGGGGCGAGAGGAGAAGTCCCTCCCTGAGGTGCGGGGTGCGAAACAGTCCAAGTCCCCAGCCCGGCCGAGATGCTAAGCGCCGGTGTCCGGGAACCAAGGCGACCGGGGCGCGCGGGCGGAGCAGCTAAAAGAGCAAAATTCAGGCGGCCGGAGCGTCCCAACTTTGTGGTCGGCACGGCAAACTTCAAAGGCGGGCGAGGGCGGGCGGCGGGCGGCCGCCGAAGTTGCTGCGAAGTGAAGCGGGAGCCGCGCGGGCCGGGGGATCCCGGGCGTAGCGGGGGAGCGGCGGGAGGTCCTTTTAAAAGGCGGGGAGCGCGGGGGCCGGGCGGCGGAGGATGCCGGGCGCCAGGCCGGGCTGGCGCGGCGGGAGCGCGGCGCGGGGAGGCCAGGCGCTCGGGCGGCGGCGGGCGCGCGGCTCAGCTCGCTCCGCTGTCTGGAGGCTCCGAGCGGGGAGTGTGTGTTCGCTGCGAGTGTCACCGCTGAAGCCCCAGCCTTCCCTCCCAGCCCGGCCCTCCGCCCCGCCGCTGCCCGCCGCCCGCCCCGCCCTCCGCTGCCCGCTGCCTCCCCCGTCCCTCCTTCCCTCGCTCCCGCCGCGCCAGCGCGCACGCACTCTTCTCCCTCTCACACACACTTCTCCCTCACACACACACTTCTCCCTCTCACACACACTTCTCCCTCTCACACACACACACTTCTCCCTCTCACACACACACACACTTCTCCCTCTCACACACACACACTTCTCCCTCTCACACACACACACTTCTCCCTCTCTCACACACACACTTCTCCCTCACACACACACACACTTCTCCCTCTCACACACACACACACTTCTCCCTCTCACACACACTTCTCCCTCTCACACACACTTCTCCCTCACACACACACACACACTTCTCCCTCTCACACACACTTCTCCCTCTCACACACACACACACTTCTCCCTCTCACACACACACACTTCTCCCTCTCACACACACACACTTCTCCCTCTCACACACACTTCTCCCTCTCTCACACACACACTTCACTCTCACACACACACACTTCACTGTCTCACACACACTTCTGTCTCACACGCGCGCGCACACTTCTCCCTCACACACACACTTTTCCCTCTCTCACACACACTTCTGTCTCACACACGCTCACACACACCTCTCACACACACACTTCTCTGTCTCACACTTCTGTCTCGCGCACGCACACACACTTCTCTCTCACACACGCGCACACACTTCTCCCTCTTTCACACACACTTCTCTCACACACATGCACACACACTTGTCTCTCACACACGGGCACATAACCACACACCCCTCTGTTCCTCGCGCGCGCGCACACTCACACACACACACTTCTCTCACACACACACCTCCCTCACACACTTCTCTCACACATACTTCTCTCTCACACACGTCTCTCACACATACAGCCCTCTCTCACACACAGCTCTCTCGCACACACTTCTCTCTCACACACATACACCTCTCATACACCAACCTCTCTCACACACACACCCCTCTCACACACACAGCTCTCTCTCACGCACACCTCTCTCACACACACCTGTCACACACACTTCTCTCACAAACACTTCTCTCTCACACACACCTGTCACACACACTTCTCTCACAAACACTTCTCTCTCACACACACATACACCTCTCACACACACTTCTCTCTCACACACATACACCTCATACACAAACTTCTCTCACACACACACCCCTCTCAGCTCTCTCTCACGCACACCTCTCTCACACACCTCTGTCACACACACTTCTCTCACAAACACTTCTCTCTCACACACACATACACCTCTCACACACAAATCTCTCTCACACACACGCCCCTCTCACACACACAGCTCTCTCACACACACAGCTCTCACACACACAGCTCTCTCACACACACAGCTCTCTCACACACACAGCTCTCACACACACAGCTCTCTCACACACACAGCTCTCACACACACAGCTCTCACACACACAGCTCTCTCACACACACAGCTCTCTCACGCACACCTCACACACATACCTCTGTCACACACATACTTCTTTCACCTCTCACACACACAGCTCTCACACACACAGCTCTCTCACACACACAGCTCTCTCACGCACACCTCACACACATACCTCTGTCACACACATACTTCTTTCACAAACACTTCTCTCACACACAAACCTCTCTCTCACACACCTCTCTCACACACACACCTCTCTCACACACACTTGTCTCTCTTACACACACGTCTCTCACACACGCTTGTCTCTCTCTCACACACACACCTCTCACACACACTTCTCTCTCACACACAAACCTCTCTCTCACACACACTTGTCTCTCTTACACACACGTCTCTCACACACACTTGTCTCTCTCACACACACACACCTCTCACACACACTTGTTTCTCTTACACACACGTCTCTCACACACACACGTCTCTCACACACACTTGTCTCTCTCTCACACACACACACACAGTCGCACACGCCGCGCAGCGATCCAGCGCTCCCCGGACCGGACCCTCGTGGGCAGCTTTGCGAGACTCGCCGCTGCCTTTACCCCCTGCCCTGCCCCCACCGCACCCCGGGGAGAATGAGGCCGCACCGCCGCGAAGCTGCAAACCCAGGGAGACCAGCACGCAGGGCCGTGGCAGCGTTAGGGCGGCCGGGTGCCACAGAGGGGAGCTCTGGGGTTGATTTGAGGGCGGAGCGGGGAGACGCGTCAAATCCAGAAGGTCGGGGGTGGGCGAGCGGAGCGCGCGCACTGAGCGTGCCTGTCCCACTTTCCCCGCGCCTGCCCACTGCAGCCTGCACTCGGGAGCTCTCCCCGCGCAGCCCCGGCCTCCTCGGGTTTGAAACTCAGCAGCTGGTTTAGCAATTGAAAAGCGGCCCTACAGGACCAGTGAGACCGAGCAGAGTGTGTGAAGCCATTAAGGCTGACTAGGTAATTATGATAAGAAGTTACCTAATTAGCAACCTGGCCTGGGCAGAGGAAAACGGGGGGCGGGGGGCACCGAGTGATTTAGTGATCTCATTTTTGCAACTGCGAACCTAGTTTCCAGCAAACCTGGTTTTTAGACTCTAGTTTTTAGAGTTGTAAGTTCTAAGAAAGTGCAATATTTAAAATATAGTGTCAGTATACATGAAAACACTTGACCCCTTCTCGTTGCCACAGCGAGATGAAGATAACTAAAATGAAAACCAACCTTCCCGAGATAATATTAAGAACTGTGGTCTTTTTGTTAAATACTTGGTAACAGAGGGCCGTCCAACGCAGCTCCTAAAGCTCTGTGCCTCCTAGATGAGAATACTGCAGAAGGTGGATTTATAAAACTGCTTATATGACACAAAATAGTTTTGTAAACGCCACGAATTTTTAAACTTTTAAAAGGAACATTTGAGATCGCTGGGCAAGCTTGACTTTTGCAGATGAGACAATGTTAAGTGGGAAAAAGGGACCCCTCAACCTCAGTCTAGAAAATAAGTCTCTTCTCTGGAGAAGGAGCTTCTTGCACTTGTGAGATAGGACCCAGATCATTCAGGCATTCATTAACAAACACTTAGTAAGTTCCTACTGTGTACCAGGTATATCTGAGGTGTGGAGATTTAGAGGTAAGACGTGCCCGCCTTTAAGGAACTCACAGCCTGGTGAGGAGACAGAGGTATAAATGAAAATGTGATTAGCACTATAATAAATGTTTGTACCTCATCATTTGGGCGCATGGAAGAGAAAGCAGCTAACTCTCCTTTAAAAGATGTTCTTGGTAGGGCTTTTAGTGTAGCATTTTGAAGGACAAGGAAGAAAGCACCAGGCAAACAAGGATGGGGTAGGGGAAGGGCATTCCACAAACAGAAGCAAGTGAAGAGATTAGGAAAGTGTCAAAGTACTCAGTGTGTCCTAGGAAGGAAGAAGTTAGGTGTGACTGGATTGTAGGTGAAGTAAGCAGGGCCAGGCTACACCAGGTTCCGCTGGCCTGAAGAGCCAGAACTTTCCTGAAGGTGGTAAGTGGTTGAGAAACTATTAAAGGTTTTAAGCAAGGACAGATCTTAAGGTTTTTATGTGTCATCACATAATGTGTTTTAGAAAGTTTCCTCTGGCATCACTGTGCAAGACAAACAGGAGAGAGAGAACAGTGAGAAGGTTATTTCCAGAGGAAAAAATTAAGTCTGAACTAAGACAGCAGAAATGCCATTTGGGAGGTTGGGACAGCTCTAGAGAGATTTAGGAAATAGAATAGACAGGCCTTAGTGATTGATTGGATATAGAGGCTAATGGAGAGGAGGAGCAGTCTAGACTCACCTCCCAGTTTTCTGGCTGGGGCAACAGGGCAGGTGATGGTGCCAGTTAGCCAAGAGAAACAGCACATGGAGGGGAGCAGTTTCAGGAGGAATGTAATGAGTTCTATTTCAAACTTGTGGAAGGAGTGCCTATGTGACATCTGAGTGCAGCACTATGCAGACAGCCAGAAGGGGAGTGCCTAGGAGAATATATCCAAGCCAGAAGGATACATACAGAGTCATCAGCATGTAGGTGTTTCGCAAAGCCAGGGAGAGGAGGAAGGCAGGCATTAAGAGAAGACTTAGGATGGAATGTGGCAGAACACCAATATTTTAGGCATGGGTAGACGAAGACGATCCTGCAAAAGAAAAAGATGAAAAAGACCACAGAGGAAGGAGCAGGGTTGATGAAGCCAAGGAAAGACAAGCTTGGTGACCAGAGTAAACCGTGGAAGACTCATCAAGATGACCAGACTGAAAAGCGATTGCTCCTCTTCACAAAACGTCTCTGTGATCTTGACCCAAGAAATTGTAGTCTATGTTGTAGGTGTAAAATCACCATTAGGAAGAAACTGAGTTCTAATATATTAGAGTGACTTGTCATTAATACATCCAGCCAAATAATGACAGACGTGAGCCTATCAAAAAGTTCTGTGGACTCTGTGAAGGATATTCTTATGAAAGTTCCAAAAAATATCTATGTTTTGAACATCACAATTTGCAAATATGAATATACCCTGTCTTCTCAAAAAAGATATGCCCATAATAAAACCAATGGCATTGTGTATATTTATATTTTTAGATATGTAAGTATTTTCAGTGTCCTGAGAGACTTGGGCAACATGCCATATTAGATAGAGCATGCATTATTTAGCCAGACAGACTCGTATTTAATTCTAGACTCTGACAATTATTTGCTGTAGGACAAAACCTCTCTGAACATCAGTTTTTTTTTTCAAATATAAAAATGGAACAAATTATAGCTGACTTACAGATGTCTTGTGAGTATTGAGTAGCATAACACATTAAAGTGTTTGAAAGATATTTATTTACTTATATC